ATACATTTAGGATTTGTTTGTAAATAAAATTCCTGGTTAGTATCTAATGGTCTTTTTTCAAAATAAAGACGATAATCATAGCATGGTCTTTTAAAATTAGATGAATCTGCTGGAATTGGTACTTTTTGTGCTATACAGCCTATAACTCCACGCTGATTATTTTTTGCTTGAAATCTCTGAAAATCAATTCCACCATCATCGTGAAAATTAAATTGATCGATTTTTAAATTATAATGTTCACTACCCCAACAGGCTAAAAGAAATGCATTATGAAAGAATACTCTTTTAATAAGAGTATCAGGTGTTAATATCGATGTTGCTAAATGTGATAAAATATTAGAGATATTTTGTTGAGTTAAAGCTGCAGATCCTTTTCTTTCACCAAGCCCTTTATCTTGTAATTCTTTTATTTTTCCATCAAGGACTTTTAATAAATTTGGAAATTGATGATGATCATGTAAATTAATACCACGAATAATCGAATATTCCATTAAATAGCAATTAATACCATCAACAGATTGATGTACAGATAAAGCTTTATATTCAGTGCCATCTTTTTTTTCATACGTAGTAGCAACATAGGCAGCTACTTGATTATCTAGTATAGATAACTCAGAAATAGATTTTAATTTAGTTTTATAGTTTTTATCATGTGGATAAACTTCTATCATACTTTTTTAAAACTTTTCAAAATGCTCTAGCCAGTTTTTTGTTGCCTTTTCCATATTGTTGACACGTGACTTATCTTGATAAAATGAAATTGCTTTCTCAATTTCAATACTTTTAGATGTTTTAGACTGTAAACTTGAATTATTTAGAAGTTCACTGGTGGTATTGAATTGTATGGTTTTATTTGGATCCATTGTAGTTTTTAAAAAGAAGCAAAAGTATACTGATCTTTTTTTTTATTTATTTATTTATATTTTTTCATTAATGTAAAAGTCTAATTTTTACTAATAGTGACATATCTGTAACACATGATTTTATCTAATCACGGGCGTTAGTAACCAGGAAATATATCAGTTATTTACTACTCAAAATCGCCGATAACTCTCAGGGCCCCACGGCTCCGCCGTGGGGGCCCTGATGATATCTCTGATTTCGCAGTAAATAACTATTACATATACGTATATATACAGGGATTACGAGTCTTATTATAACAAACTCTAGCATGATTAACTATAGATCCTTAAATATTATATTAGTTCGGTGTAAAGAATATATGTGAATCTTTTTTCTTCTTTATTCTTTTGCGAAAATGAGGAACGATAGAGAATTAAGTTTACGAATATAATGTAGTTTGATTGGTTGATTGTCACATGTTTCGCAAATAGCCAATTATAACGTGTTATTCAATTTCATGTGATCGGCCAATCACGAGAAAGTTATCCTATTGTGTAACTTTATGATAGTTTATTTTTCAATGAAGTGATAACGATAATCGGATAATGATAATTGACAAAGGTTTATTATAGTAGTTTGTTCGATCATGATATTTTATACTTTAACCTTAACAAATAGCTAATTAGAGCCTAATAGAAGTAGGGTTATAAAAAGTTAGATTTTATCT